TTTTGTGAGGAAGACTGAGTCAGCTCAATGAACGGTTGGATGAAGGGAAAGAATCTCGACCGTTGGATTAGTTTTTGGAAAGAAAAACAAAAAATGTTCCCTTTTTGCTTTTCTCACCTAGAGAATTCTCCCATTAACTCCTTTGTTTTAATTAAAACGACTTTAATTTAGCATTAACGCACAATTTCTTTATATTCACATCTAATTCAATTTATTTTCGTGATGTTTAACTTGCGAATTAAAATCTTATTAACTAACTTATGTCTAAATGCAGAGAAGTCAAAATCTTATTAACGTGATGTTACAGTATCATTTTTATTTTTCGGACAGAGTATTTACCTTTAACTTTCACTAGATAGGAGTTACCATTTTGACTAATTTTGAGGATGTAAATGCAGAGAAGAGGATGAGTCACCAGGTCGCATGTACAAATGTTGTTTGGTGACAATTATGATGTAACCACACGTGTGATATCCACGTGGCAAACATTTTCAGTCCTGATTAGGTAAGAGATCAAACCGCATCTTCTATATATTTTGTTGTAAAAACAAATTATTGTCATTGTTCGATTTAGCTGCACCTGCACGTTATGTTAAGAACAAGGTTTTATAAAATTAGTTGTGTACGGTGGTGTGTCCTTGAGATGCTTCCCTATAAATTTATTCATATAGAGACAAGAAATGCATTAAAAAAAATGAAGATAGATATGGCTTTGGGTTATATTTTGCCAACTTAATTAATGCCCATTTGTGTTAATCTAACCAAACCTGAATTTTTGGAGTACTCATTTATACATTTTGGATTGTCTTCAGACTAAAAGACAATTATCGTTACTAATTGTAATTGATATGAGTTTGGTCGAGTTAATAGATTCGTCTTTAATAACGATGAGATGATGCCAAAGTTATACTCCTTCTGTTCCATGAAGATTGATGTCCTAATTTTTTTTTTTGTTCCACAAAGGTTGATGTTCTAACATTTTTTATTGATTAATATTAACAAATTGTAAATTTCAATAAATATTAAATAAAAATATTTGAATTTATAAAATAACTATTGGTTCCTAGTTGTTGTAAAATGTTTAGGTGTACTAATAAATAAATATAATTTATTGTTTTTTAATTTGTGTAAAACTAGTAAAACATCAATTTTCATGGAACGGAGAGAGTATTATTGTTG